CCCTATCTCTAAGGGAGAGCCCAGCCACCCTACGGAGGAAACTCATTTCAGCCGCTTGTAGATTTCAATTAACATATTTTCATGTAGCGGAGAAAAGCATCGCCTTTCTCAGTAAAGGTGCTTCCATTGGAGGCAGAAGGAGTTTGGGGATTATCTGATCTGGTGGATCGGTGCTGCATTCGTTCAGGTACTCCTAACTAAAGTGTTGGGAATCGTGTCGTTTCCTGGATGCCATAAAAACGGCGTCCTGCTGCAGCTGCATGATCTTTGTCCTTCTGACAGCTGGAAAAAGAGACGCTGATCTTTCTGTACACAGACCTTGCCTATGGATGGGGTTAGAGGGGATGCTTAGTCCATGCTGACAGCAGATGGTTGCAGGCGGGGTCGGTGGAGGCCCCTGGTTGTGATGCTGCTCTGCTTTGACAGGGGGGTGTTCTGTGGGACTCCCACTACAGGACGCCTCGGCCGCTCAGTCACCCATCCGGCTCTAATGTCTCAGCTCTGCCCTCTGATTGGCTGAAGGCTTCTTCCTCTATCTGTGGTGAGTTTCACAACGCTTTGCTTCATGGTCAAGCAGAGCTGACACGCGCGTCCTATTTCACCTCCTGGATGGAAATGACTAACCCTGCGAGGACCTGATGAGCTCCTCAGTGATTGGCTCTGATGTGTGAAGCATGGCCTTGGTATTTACCCACCTGGTTGCCCACCAAGAGGAGGTGTTCTCCCAGCAGGAAGTCTTTCAGCATGTCCTCCATCACCATCATGTGCTGCAGAGACGACACGTGAGAAAAGCTCAGAACAGGGTAAGGTTACACACCATGTCTCTTCTTCTTCTTCTCATAAACACGTTTCTAATCTGGAAACAGGTCAGAGCCGAAGTAGGCCTCCCTCTCTCCTCTCATCCTGTCTTCTCATCCTCAAACACCTAGAAATGGGACAGAGCGAAGGCCGAGAGGACATGAATCTGGGTCGCATGCCGTCATTTCCTGTGTTTGGCCCGTTTCAGGCCATCCTGCGGTTTAGTCATGCAGGGTGACGCTGACCAACCCTGATGACAATGTAAACGAAAACTGGGAAATGTGGAAATAGCTGCAATCAGACGTTGTCATCCAGAGCTGGAGGCTTTTAAACATCTGAGTTTCTAAATTCAGCTCAGTGAGAGCAGAGGCGTTAAATCTCAGTCCCAGCTAAGGGAAAACAACCTCACTGTCTACAGTAGCCATTCAAAAAATCCCCACTTTGCTTTGGGTCCTTGAATGGCCCTTGGATGGACCTTGGATGGCCCTTGACTGTTCCTTGGAGGGCCCTTGGATGGCCCTTGACTGTTCCTTGGATGGCCCTTGACTGTTCCTTGGAGGGCCCTTGGATGGCCCTTGACTGTTCCTTGGATGGCCCTTGACTGTTCCTTGGAGGGCCCTTGGATGGCCCTTGACTG